CAGGGATGAAGGCTGCCTGGGAATAGTGGGAGGAATAGGATTCAAGAAAGTCCTAAAAACATTAGCCAGTAGATTAATATCACCTGGAGGCATAAACAGAGGTCACTTACACATTTTGAAGAGGCATGCAATTGTACCCCTTAAATATATAGTCTTGTGAATTTATGTTACTTCAATAATAAAAAGAATTCACCTGGAAAATCTGATGTCGTGGAAATAAAACTTTTTTTTTAATGATCTATACTGAGGTCATTGGTATCTAATCCTAAGTTTATAAGTTGGAAAAAATAACCACTCTATCACTAACCAAAACTTAGCAAAGACTGTGAATTGTCTTGGTAACTGGATATTTTGAGTTCTCTGGAGGCAGATTCTAAGTAAATGATTGCAGCATCAGTGACTTATTTAAAATATATTTCCAGAGGACACTAATAGGAAATGGGGTAAGAATGTCAGGAACAAAGGAGAAAAAGCTCAGTTATGATGAAATTTCATGTATAGTACTCAAGGGTATTTCTTTAAATTTATAAGCCTCAGGGATATTTTCAATGGCAAAAGGCAATTAATTTTTTATGTACTGTTTTCACATTTACGTAAATAGCTATGTAGAGGAAGGAGGTTGGTAATCGCCAAGGAAGGTGTTACTCATTTAATGCACAGAGTATTTCAAGCATCCTCAGTACCTTTCTCCGAGCAAAGTCATATTTTCCATTTATTTAAAACCTGTTTCTGTGTATGTAATATAAAGACAACGTAATAGTATTATTAAAAAAGGAGTCATGTAATTTTTGTTGGGGAATTGAAATTAGTTGCAGTAAGCGAAAGGTTGTTCTGGGGGAAATCATTGAATATGCAGATGGGCATGTTGAATATAGTGATATTGATGTGGGAGTTTTAGGATGGTGAAGAAATATATTATTGTCAAGGGCATGAATGGAGTATATATATAGAATGGAGTACATATAGAATGAGGGTAGGGTGGAAAAAGCACTTAAAGAATTTATATTCAGATATCTGCAGCAAAATTAAAAGGGAGCATAGTCCATGATAGAGGAAGTATTAGCACAAACTACTGTTTGCTGTCAAGAAGGTCACAGACAAGGTGGTGTTCAAAAATAATAACTGTTTCTTAGTTTGAACAAGGTGAATTAGAGAACACTGTGAACTAAAGTAACCACCATAGATTTTTGAGATGAATAGATTTGGAAGCATGGTAGGAAAAAAATAACATTAACTGTTAGTTTCAGAGTAAAGGAGTGTTAATCTATTTAGTTTTCAAATGGCATGTGTATATGTTGGGAAAGCTAAAGATTAGTAGAACTAGGAGTATATGTCCAAGAGAAAACACCCTTTAAAACAGAAAGAGTCTAGAGTGTCTTTAGAACTAAAAACAAAGGATTACATGACTGTAAATCTAGATTTAGGTTGGAAGATTGGTTGAGGGCCGAGAGTGTCAAAACTTCGAACAATTATGAGAATGTTGCTTGCAGAGCACTGATAGAGAGATTGACTTGAGTACAGAAAGGGCATCACTCCTAGGACAGATATAAGGAATGACAGGTTGGAAACAGGTAGGTCTGTAGCTGATAAAACAAGAACATAAGAGAGTTATCTATTACTCTATTTTCTTTGTGAAAAAAAGATAAGGTTTTTCTGCCAAAAATGCAAACTAGTTAACATACAGAACCAAATAGAATCAACTTTCTGAAAGTTTTTAGTAAGGATTTTTGTAATTAGTAATTGAATTTTGAGTAAATCCAGTTTAAAATTAAAATCAATTGTACTTGGGTTAGTACATCAATATTTTCTCAGATATAAATTCTAAATTCCTATTTAAATTCCTGTTGCATTCAAATTCTTTTGTGAGTTATTTTTTAGATTGTGCTGTGGTAGAACTCTGTGTCAGTACCTGTCTTTGAACTTGTCGCCTGAGAATTAAGTTTTAGAAATTACTTCAGAAAATTTGATTTGTGGATATTTGAATGAATTTTATTTGTCAAATTAGTTGAGAGGTAATAAAAATCACTTAAAATATGCTTCTGAAAGTTTCAGAGTTCTTTTGAATGTTTGAATGTGTGATTCGATGATCAGCTAATATGGATCAGACAGAAAACTCAGTAAGAATAAAAAAGTAAAGGCCCATCAATTAAAGATAATAAGCCATTTAAGTCTCTGAATTTCGGATACATTTGTCAAAAAAAAGCAATTATCATCTCAATAAGTTCTCAATTTTATTTGTTCTTCGAATCACTTTTACACCTTTTAATAGATTTTATATGTCTTAGTTTTTCACATAAAATAAGTGATTTATTGTTTTGTGTAACTGCATCCTGCACAGAAAGTATTCTTAGTTTTTTAAACATAGTCATTGTGATTTATAATACTTTAATTATGGCATGTTTTACATACATTATTCCAACACCCAATACTACAATTCCTCCCCATAATGTCTGTTTCTCACTACTGTTGCCTCAGGGTTCTTCTGTGAAACCTTTTCACCATTACATTGATCTCCCCACACTTAATAATCTCAGTTCACATAGTTCATTCTTCTGTTCTCTTTGTTATCCTCCTATCATGAGTCTTTATGTCACACATATTAGACTTCATTTTGTATCTGCCCCTCTTGTGTTGGCTGCTTTACTTGCATGGTAAGTAAAGTAGACTTCAATTCCATTCATGCCATGGCAAATTAAGTGATTTTATCTTTACTTATAATTGTGTAGTATTTTATATGACACTTGGACTGTTTCCAGGATTTTGGCTATTGTGAGTACTGCTGCAGTGAATATAGGAGCACACTTTTTTGTTTGTTTGTTTGTTTGTTTTTTCCTGAGTATAATTTTTGGGTCTTGAGGATAGATGTCAAGAAGTTGAATTGCTCGGTTATGTGGAGATTCAATTCTTAATTTTTTTAAAGAAGTGTTCATAATGTTTTTGTAAAAGGGTTGAACCAGGTTACAATCCCATCATTTGTAGATAAAGGTTCCTTTTCCCCCGTATCCATGTCAAATCTAGTTTTTATTTTTCTTAATTTTTTTGACCAGTGAATGAGGCAATATCTCAATATCTCATTGTGTATAGAATTTGCATTTTCCTGATGGTAGATTTTTCAATATCTATAGATATGTCCTCCTTAAAAAACTTCTGCTAATTTCTTCTCATTTTTCAATGGGCTGACTGTCAGTTTTCTTGCACCTTTTTATTTATTTATTTTAAATTTTTTAATAGTGAGACATCATGAGGTACAGTTGCAGACTTACACATTTTTGTCTTGCACCTTTTTAAAGTGCATATATAAGAAAGTTTTTAGTAAGGATATCTTACATAAATATAAACATATATCACTGTCACTGTCCTCCCATTGTTCATTGATTTGCTTGAGCAGGCCCAGTAACGTCTCCATTGGAGACTTTGTTGTTACTGTGTTTGGCATATCGAATACATCACGGGTAGCTTGCCAGGCTCTGCCTTGCGGGCGAGATACTCTCGGTAGCTTGCTGGGCTCTCTGAGAGGGGTGAGGGGCGGAGGAATCAAACTCTGGTCGGTCATGTATTGCATAATTAACCCCTTGTTAGATCATTGGTGAGAAAAATACTCTCTCCCTATTTGTGAGCTTTTTCATTCTGTTGATAATTTCTTTTGTGATGTCAAAGACAGCTTCTCAATTTAATGTGATCTCATTGTTTATTTTTGATTTCATTTGTTTAGGCGAAAATCTTATCATTGAATACCTCTAGATTCTATGTCATGAAAGATTCAGTCTGTGTTTTCCTCTATATAATGTGAATCCAGGTCTGACATGGCGCTATTTAATCCATTTTTTAAGCTGACATTTTTGAGATAAGGCCTGAGCCCATTTTTCAAGTGTGACTGATGAGTTTTCCCGGAAACATTGGCTGACGAGGCTTTCCTTGCTGCACTAAATATCATTTCCCCTTCTCAAATATTAGTTGTCTATATACCTGTGGGTCTGACTCGGCTCTCAATTATATTCCACTGGTCTAAAATTCTCTTTTTTTCCCAGTAACAAACTGTTTTAAGAGTTTTTAAGATTTAAGAGCTTTTAAAATTTCTAATACCTCTGTAATATTCTAATAACGTGGTTGTGGGGCAGACCGCACTAGGAAAATCACATCAGAATAATACCTGAGGGTCAGATCCAGGCTTAAGCATTTTTAAGTCTGTTCAGGTCATTTGAATTTGCAATCCATTTTGAGAACCACTGGTGTTTACAACTCCTTAAGGGGAGCCCTTGGAGTTGGTAGCTTATGGGAAGGAAATAAAATGAAGAACAAAATAGAAAAATGCTATCTACATTCAGTACTGAGAGTCAAAAACACAGAACTGTATAATCAAATATTATTTTTCAAATAAATAAAATATGTCAGACTCATGGTAGATAAATACTATTTATGGAAGAAATAAATAGATTGAAAGAAAAAAATGGATTCTCATAAAATACACTATTTTTTTTTTAAGTTAGATAACTAGTTTAGGGAAGAAGTATACTTTTTTTTCCTGATGTCCAGGCCAATTGTCTTCATTAAATTAGGAATTGTTTCAAGAGATAATTGTGGTGAAAATAAAAATCACAAATTGAAAATGAGCCAGTGCAGTAAAGTTCAGAAGAAATAAACTGCTTTATCAGGGGTTTATAATGCAATACTAATGAATTAGCCAGAAACATTGAGGACTGAATCCATGGCAATTTGAGATGTTTGGACCCCCGATAGGTTTTTCTAGCCAATGTTACTGGTTAAAATAATAATAAAATGTACTATTGAGAAAAAGGAAGAGCTTAATTTCCTTGCCTTCCAACATTAATGACTGCAGATATAACTGCAATGGAGATTGAGTGTTTTCCCTCAAGACAGCTGAACTAATTAATGTCAAAGGTTGGATATTAGCCCTGGGTCTTCTGATATCTGGTTCTCCAAGTTGCTTCCTTTCAATCTTTTTAGCTTGGGAGATTTCTTTTTTTTTTTTTTAATGTCTTTTTTTGTGCACTGTTTCTGGAAGTACTGCAATATCAGGTCGGTGTATGGAACGGACAGAGAAAGTTCCTATTCTATTTCAGGCTTCCCCCAAATCCATTTCGTATACTGTCCTCAGATAGAGGATGTATCAGATATTAAGTTGATAAGAAGAGATACTACTCTTGATCTTAGCCAAAAGGCGAGACACATTCAGCTTGAAAGATTTAAAAACAAACAAAGAAACACAGTGTTTCTCTTTACTGTCTCCTTTGTTTTTTTCATCTTAATGTGTTCATACTAAACTGGAACAAAATCAAAGCTTAAAGAAAAAGGACTATGGCTTACTTTCTATATTAAGAGAACTATATTCTTTAGTGATATTTATTGAAATTTAAATAGTTTTTAATTATAAGTTAGTTTATTTTATTTAATTTATTTGTAAGCTACCTAACTAAAATTAGAAGTTATTTATTTATAAGCTATTATTTTATCGATAAGTTAGTTTATTTAAAGGATAGTCGTGGCTGCAGATTTTCCTGCTAGTGAGTCTTCAAGATAGAATGAAGATGGTCATGAGATCTGCACTGGGATATGTATGTGCATATATATATATGTGTGTGTGTATAGTATATATATGTACACTATATATGTATGTATGCACACATGCACGCACAAATGACCTAGTGTCAGTGAACTTTAGATTGGGAAATATATCAGTTATATTCTATAGTGGTTGTAAGTGTTATATTTTTGCTCTAGTTTTAAAAAAACACAAAAAATTGTCAAAAAGGAAGCCTCACGAGATAGTTATTATTACAGTTTAACTTATTTGAAGAAACTGAGACTTAAGAATGTGGGTAACTTCACTAGTCCATAAAATAATCAATTTGGAGCTTCAACTCTTAATACTCCTTCAATTTTCTAGTACACTCCTTTCCGGGAAAATATTTGCTGGGAAATATTCTTAATGATAGAAATAAAATTACAGTTATAACTCACAAAAAATTTACTATACCCCTGGTTCTATAAATTATATGATATTTTCAATTATTCTTTCTTATAGAATGCATATTTATTACATATTTTTCAATCCAGTAAAAGGGAAGAGATAGTTTATTGTCCATTTTTGCACAGTCAAAACCACATTTACTGACCATTTATCATTATTCTTGTCCATCTTACCTATTTGAATCATTGTTTAACTACTGATACTAAGTAGGACCTATTTATATTTTATTAGATTTTGTGATAATGGGGAGATCTAAGCCCAGGATCCCACTTGCCTGGGTTCCTCTGCTGGTTTCTTCATGAATGAGGCTTGTCCGAATGCGTGGAGAGTGGTCTTTTATTTTATTTTATTTTATTTTATTTTTAAAACTGGGAGAATGTATTTTCAACATCTATTACAGACAAATGCAGTTTTTTTTTAGACAAATGATTTATTGACAACCACTACTAAAAAACAAAGAAGCAAAGAATCTAGGTCTATCCCCCCATTTTTATCTAGGCACAATGGTTTATGATGTTGTTAATAATAAAGTTTGAGTGGCCAGAGAGAGATGTTACAGTGGTTAAGTCCTGGTTTCTATTCACAGCACCCTCTATGGTCTCCCAAGTCACACCAGGAGTGATCCCTAAGTCTAGAGCCAGAATAAGCAAAGAGCACCAACAGCTATGGCCCCCAGATCAAAATTTATTAATAATAAATTTTCCAGCATACAATATTCTAACATTAATAGCGATAGCACAGTGGTAGGGCGTTTGCCTTGTGCACAGCCGAGCCGGGTTTGATTCCTCCGCCCCTCTTGGAGAGCCCGGCAAGCTACTGAGAGTATCTCGCCCACATAGCAAAGCCTGACAAGCTACCCGTGACGTATTCAATATGCCAAATACAGTAACAACAAGTCTCATGATGAAGACATTATTGGGCCCGCTTGAGCAAATCAATGAATAATGGGAGAACCGTGACCGTGACAATTTTTTTTTTAAGTTTTATTTAGTGGATCACTGTGAGAATAGTCACAAAGGCTTTCGATTTAAGTCTTGGCCGGTCATACAATGACCAAACACCCTTCCCTTCACTAGTGCACATTTTCCAAGAACCCCAGTAGGCTCCCCTTCCAACCACCACCCGCCCCCCTCCCATGTGGCAGATTTCCACTTTACTCACTCTCTCTCTCTCTCTCTCTCTCTCTCTCTCTCTGTAGATCACATTCAATATTATGACAAAAGATCCAACATTATTATTTGGAATGCTCCCCAATATTCAGACCTGCCAAAAAGACATCATTAGATAATTTATTTTCTATTGCTGATTATGAAGAGCATATGATGTCGTGTGGTCACAATAGCTGCCACGCGATTTTGGATTTCTGATATTTTAGTAATAAGTCTAGAGGGATTACTGCCAAAATCCCATGGATTCTGAGATTGGTTTGTGTGCCTCTGGGATCATGGTCATTCAGGAGCCAGAGGAGGCGTTTGTGGGTGGAAATCCGGGGCCTTGTCAAGGCAGGGAGCAGGACTGATTCACCCCCCATTCCACCAGGCCCCGCGTGCCTTGTCAATGAGTCCACTACCTCGCTGTCCATTAGGCTCCAAAAGATGGAGGCCACCATGCCGCTGCTGCAAGGGGGCGGGGAGACAGGCGGAGGGACAAACACCCTTCCCCTCCTGGGGCGGCATAACACCATAGTTAAATGCATAGTCCAGATGCATTTAGGTTGACCATTATATTTTTCTCAGATTTTCCCAACACTGTTCACACCTGCCTTCCAGGGACAGACGCTAGATCATTTATTTTCATTGCTCACTTTGCATATTAGGAAATGTCGCATGGCTGCATAAGCAGCATGCAGTTCGAAAGAGTAGTCCTGGTGGCCACATATGGGAACCGTGCTTGTAGAAGCTCATGGTCGCTGTGATCCCATCTGGAGAAGGCAGAGAGACAGCACCTACCCCAACTGGAACCTCCCGGTGATATCGGCTCAGTATGGGGCCCAGAGAATTCTCCAGGAGTTGTGAAACCCACTGGCCAGTTTTCTTCTCTGCAGTGTGTGGAGAGTGGTCTTAAGCATGGCTGTGGCTGATTCCAGAGGTCTTCATCTGCCAAGGCTCTGCTCGGGGCAGGGAGAAAAACTCAATATGCCCTCCTTCTAAAGGGCTACGGTGAGGCTAGCCAGGCGTGGGGGCAGTAGACTCTACAAAAATTGGGGCTGAGATCTCTAAGCCTGCTCCAAGCCTCCTCCACCCAGATCCTCTGTTTTCTAGTAGGCAGGCATTACACCCACCAACTACCCCTGGCACTGTTATCCTATCAACAGCCAAGACCCAGGGACTATAAAACCCAGCTCCCAGAAGAGAACAGAGCAGAGTCTCCCACCTCCACACCTGGCTGTCCTCACCAGGGCCCCTTGGAGGAAGGTGGATTGAGTTTCCCTCCCTGCCCCAAGCAGAGCCCCAGCAGCTGAAGACCTCCGGTTCCAGCCACAGCCATGCTTAAGACCACTCTCCACATGTTCGGACAAGCCTCATGCATGAAGGTACCATCAGAAGAACCCAAGTGTGCAGGACCTGGGGCGTAGATCTCCAAGCCTGCTCCGATTGGAACTGGGCCTCCTCCACCCAGATCCCCCATCTTCCAGTATGTAGGCATTACACCCACCAATTACCCCCAGTGCTTTGTAATTCCATCAATGACCAAGACCCAGAGACTGTTCCAGGAAGCGAGTGATCACATTCACGGTTGTGCAACATCTTATTATCTATTTCTCACTCTGGAGAACCTGGCAGTCTACCAAAAGTATCCTGCCCACATGGTAGAGTCTGGAAAACTCCCTGTGGCTTATTTAGTATGCCAAATCACAGTAACAATGATGTGTCTCATTCTTCTGACCCTGAAAGAGCCTCAAATGTGGCACTTTCTAAAATCTCAGGGCTAGGACGAACGGAGACGTTACTGGTGTCTGCTTGAGCAAATTGAAGAACAACAGATTTGACAGTGATACAGTGATCTTGTCACTGCTCTCAGTAACAAGACACAGAGAAAGGCTCTTGGTGGTACCCACATTTTGAGGTGTTAGGATTTAAGGCAAAACTTAGAACAACTGAAGCTTAAGTCAAGCCAATATGACAAATATCAGGGTTTCATCTTTCGGTAAGAGAGATCCCATTTTACTGAATCTATTCAATGATAATTGACACAGAGGATTAAATATGTTTAAATATATTAGGAAGAGAAAACCAAGCTGTTCATTCTTACCCATGTGATATATACCCATTTACTAGGTGCTACAGATCAAATATGGTGCTGCTAAAACTTGAAAAGGTATAACGTACAGTTTAAACAACAGTACCACGCTCATCTGGTTTTAGAATACCCATGTTATTCGCTTTTTTTTAAATGTGACAATCCTTGCCATGAAATTCTAAGGTACTGAATAATTATTTGTACTATCTCATTAGTAACATGTATTTTCACGTACTGGAATGTTAGCAAAATAAGCTGAAAAAAAGTTGATTGCTGTCATTTCCCACAATTTTTACCCAGTTTTCATATTCAGCTAAAGCCAAAGGGGCTGTTCCTAGTGGCTTGAATGTTAAAGTGGCCCACTTTTTCATCAGTATGAAGCCCTGAGGTTTGTCTGGAATTCCAGCAAGAATGTCTGATATCTTTTAAACACTGATAGGATAAAAGTTTTGCAACCAATTTTATAACTCTACAAAAGCCATGTTTAAAGGAAAGCATTTTTTTTGAACCTGTTTGTAGGTACCACAGTTATTTAAACTCACAAGATTCTTGAGGTCAGGTATCCTAATAATCAATGCAGAAATATATTTATACATTTAGACATATCAGCATAAGAAAACCTTTGAACTATCAGTTTTATAAAATACAAGAAAGCCTTCTTTGACTTAATTTCTGCAGTACTATTTTGAAAGCATTAAATCATATCTATGATGTCCAAAAGGCTTTAAGATGCTCAGAATTAAGATCGCATTGTCTACATTATACTTGGCGAAAGTCCAATTCACATTACAAATTTATCAGAAAGCATACTAAAGAATTTCATCTTTAGAATCCCAATTTCTAGGAAAACACAGGTTTCACTGCGTTTAAAACACTCTCTGGATTTCCATTATCAGCTTTCCTGGCACATGGCTGGCTTGGCGGGAGAAGGGCTTCCAGGCGGCAGCGAGGTCTCAGGCTCA